TTTGTGGGGATTTTATTTATTTGTTGATTTCAGGTTGGTATTCATCATTGGCTGACACCAGTTGGAGGAAAGCTGGAAACCCGGGAGCACTGGACAGCCGTTTTGTCGTAGTAGGGGACTCCCCAGCTATGGACACTAGTGACACCACCAAGGGTCGAATATAGCACCTTCAAGTCCAGTGACCAGCACGTTACTATTGAGTCGCTGTTTCGGAATCCAGTGCTGTATATTTCCTACTTCTCTCTGTCTACGATATAGCGTGAACTCTACCCAATGCCACATTTTGTATTCGTCCTCATATCCCACCTGGTTGGCCCCATCGATCACGACTTCTTGTTAGTACTTCTGGAATTACCTCTCAAAGCGAGTCACCAATGAGCATTGAAATTATTCAGTTTGAAGGTTTGTAGGGATCTTTTCATTTTCTGACTTCAGGTATTCATCATGGACTGACACCAATTGGAGAAACACTGGGAACCAGGGGACACTGGGCAGCTGTTCCTATACTATGGAACTCCTCAGCAGTGTGCCCCAATGGCCCTGCCACGGACTGAACCCTGAGTAGGAAATATAGACCATTGGATTCCGACTCAGTGCTGGTCGCGTAACCCCGGGGCACTGGGTTCGATCTCTGGCGGAGTCATTGCATCTGCCTGTTTACTTATCGTTGCGTTTAACGTAATTTGTAAATATGAAATGATTTATTTTAAGAAAACACACAGACACAGAAGAATAAATGCCCATACTTACATCTTACTATTTTACGCTTAACACAGAAATTAAGCGAAGAAATATCACTTCATGAAAAATCAACAAAATCGCCTTTGAATACATCTCCCTCTGTCATTCTGCATCCTTATGATGAAAATCAATACAAACAGCTACTTAATGCAAATAAAGTTGATAACTGTGAAGCACTTATGAAGTCTGAGATGGATTTGTTTGCCCAGTCACTTCCAAATATATTCAGTCACGAAGTCGAAGGGAAAAATGAACGTGCAGTAACTTCAGAACTACAAAGTGAGTTCGAAGAAGACCAAGTCAAGGAAATGGAAGTGTTCGAAGAAAATATAACTCAGATGAAGGAAGTGAGATTCAATCAAATTCTACAGTTTGCTGAAAAGTTTGGCTTCACTGCAGAAGGTGGGTGTGCAAAATAGCTGTATTTAACACTTAGCACCAAGATGTGTATTAACTTATTATTATGCCAGTGAATTATGCAGTGAAAATAGGTTTGAAGTATGATTCATGCTGTAAACTTAGTCATATTCACCTATTTTTCTAAATCATACAATGGAATACAGTTTTATGCCAATACAAATTGTTAATTTCTGATTTTGTGTGAAGTTGGAGTTAATAACTTTCAATCTTACTTCACATTTGAGTTCGATGGTCGTTAGAACAGAAATGAATCCGTATCTGTCATAACTACTTCATCTTGATACTAGTTTCTTTTCAATGGCATCGTTTTACTGAATTCTTTTCAAAAGTGACTCATTGGTAAATAAACCAACAAAAAACATTTAGAAAAGCACAAACAATGATTTTATCAAGATGGAATGCATCCACTTTATTTTAGCAGTAACTTATCAGCTGCTTAAAATATAGAGCATGAAAACGTAAATGTTTATTGAAAATTTAACACCTTTTAATTTATGCGGACAAAACAGATGTCAGTAAGGAGGTTAAAAACCTTAAACATGTTACCACAACTACATGCATACATAGTTCAATCGAAGTTTCTCGGAGAAATTTCGACAGTGATAGCAACCGAAATATTGAGGGACTCAAAATTTGAAGATTACCTTACTGAGTCATTCAGTAAATAAGTTACTAAATAAAACATAAAAAATATTGTAAATTAAGCCCAGTTAGTTTAAAGCATTCTACGTGAATGAATTTGGTCTCACAAAAGGTTAATTTACCCAACGCAATGAGAATACAGAGATTTTCTGAAATATATGATGTATTGGCGTTATACATATCGAACAGTCTGTCACATATGAACTTATCGAATAATTTACATAAAACCCAAAAAGGTTAATCAAGCCAACATAATTAGAATTAAGAATGATGACAAGGGGAAAAGGAAAACAAAAGAGGAAGACATAATCATCGGAAGTCAAATCATCACCACCCATGGTATGAATAGTTGAGCTTAGGACTAACGCATTTACTTACACAGATGACACAAAAAACAGTAGCGAATTTCCTGTGGGACACACTAGCGCCAAATGGATATACATTGAAATTTACCAACACATGTAAAATCGGCATAACATTGACACTGATTGATCAGTGTTCTGTTCCCAAGAAAGGTATGTACATCACATTTCCATACAGGGGTGAGTCGAATAGCCTAATCTTGAAGAAAAGGCTCAAATCAGTTGTTAGCAGGATATACTATGCGGACAAGGAGAAGACAATGTCCATGCTTCAATACAAACCTAAACAGCATTCGAAGGGGTGCATCACATACTGATTAACTCTATCAATTTACATGTACATGTAGATACATACAAAATGAGGAGCAGCCGTGAAATGCAGTTAAGAATGGTTGAACATATGCGTAAATGGCATAAGTGCGGATGACAGACGTCGTTCCTGACTGATAGCAGAATACATATTATAAACTGATCATATGATTCATATGAAGACAACCTTCACTGTATAGAATTGGTCAAGAATGAATGCCAAGCATTAAACTCAGTCATATTCACCTATTTTTCTAAATCATACAATGGAATACAGTTTTATGCCAATACAAATTGTTAATTTCTGATTTTGTGTGAAGTTGGAGTTAATAACTTTCAATCTTACTTCACATTTGAGTTCGATGGTCGTTAGAACAGAGATGAACCCGTATCTGTTGTGTATATAAAAAGCCAATGATGCATGGTGAGATTTCTGGAAGCGATAGTCAGACAGAAATTGAAACTTCCATGATGTGCACAAAAATGACTTGTTTTAACACTTCATTTATCTTGGTAACATTTGTTGCCTTAACAAGATCGGGAACAACTATGTCACTATTCGTTTTATTCTTCATCTTTCTTAATTTTAATCCATCATTATCTCAATTGTTCTATTTGTCATCCAATCCTTCAGTTTTAAATAAATTGACTTGACAAGTGAATATGTGACCAGATTGTGCTTAACGTATTGAGCAAATACATCAGCTTTTAAGATAGACTTAATTTTCCTATAGCACTATCTAAACTCATAAAAAGGACTGCTTATTTCAAATACATGGCAACTGATATGCAAAACAAAGGGAAACTGTAAGGTCAACCCTAACTGTTGGTCGTAATAGTTAAATAAATGTTGACTGGGTGCACTTATGACATAAATACAGCCTTGTTGTGAATAAGTTGCGTAACCTGCGATTTATTTTAATGTTGATGTTTCAGACATTATTTCGCAGACACAGTAGAAACTACAAGAGGGAAATGCGTTAACTGCTACCAGTCTGGACAACTGTCAAGCATTTGTCCAAAAGATTTTGCCAATGTTATTTCCTGTTATTAGAGAAAATTGAGGAGTCTATATATCTTTTGATACATGCAACAAACCACACTTGTAGATATCCACTCAGCGTTTGTCATCCATATAACGCAAATTGATACTATTCTTAGTTGAGAGCAAACATACAGCCTTTATTCTTAGTGTAGAATTATTTCTTTGAATAATAATATTGACTATACCACATTTACGATGCCACAGAGATTGTGAGAATAAGCAAAAGAATTAAACGAAACTGTTGTTAACCTTACACGCAAAAAAACATTTGATCCTCTTATAATATGCTGTTCATCGGTAAATATGAATTATTCCCTTTATTACCCATTCTTCCGGGAAGTAATTCACTGCATGCAATAAACTTGATTCGGGTTAAAGAAATATATCATGTAGTAATTAGTCTAAGGCTACACAACACTCAAAACAAAAGTAGAACGTCTTTTTACAAAAGTACTTGGTGAATGCCGATTCAGTGACTGCTAAGTTAAAGTGCTTCTAACCACACACATCCCCAGGCAACTGCCGGCACCACCGATTAAGTTTCCTTATTATAACTGGAAAGGCAGTTTTTCATAAGGGGAAGAAACTTAACTGATTATTTCAGTAGTTGATACAGTGACCTCTAGAGTCACTTCTTTGATTACGTGGATTATCTATAGATGGATTGCGTAACCAAATTTTTTTAGTCCAATGATCATCGGAAGAAATAACTAAATTCTGAACACACAGTATATCACGGTTTGCTATAACTAACCTATGCTTAGTGAAGCGTTTGAAGCTATCCATCCTGGATTCGAGTCCTGGTGGAAACAATACCGATTAGGAGGCAGGTACATCCAGTTGACGAGTCCCAAATAGGAATAAATACATGTTCTGGATTCCACTACTAGACACTACTCAATATTAATATATTTTTGTGGAATTAAACAGCATAGTGTAACCATGATGTATGTATTAAATACAAAATAATTATACTAGTAGCATCATGAATCACCTAACCCCGTTTAGATGTTCGCATTGAATGTCAAACTATCCATCCATTCAGTTTGCTTGTACTAAGTGAAAACAGGTGTGTTATTATTAAAAAGAATATCGACTTATAGGTATTTAAAAGGAATCTCCAACTGAAATTATTTAAATATCATATATAGCACTGCTTGATTATATTTAACATCTAAATACACACGATATATCTATTCCGGTTCCAGATTATTTAACTGACATTTTTTTTTAAACAGTCTCGATTTCCCCATGAAGATACTACGGTCAGTCTTTGCAACTGAAAGCCTAACAAGTCCTCATAAATCGTGTACCTAAAGACATTTGTTCCATTGGGATGATACTTTTTAGTTAGGTCTAATGAATAATGACTGTAAGTCATACAAAAAATACGCACAAGATGCAAGCAAATACGGTGGGTGAATACACCAGGGCAATAAAATAATACACAGTCAATATACATTAATATACATGTTCCTTACCTGTAATAATGTATGCGGCTTTAATTTCTCTTCTACGGACCACTCATCCAAATGGATATTTCTCACCTTCTCTAATGATGCACGGAAACTTTCTGATACTACTGTACATGTTTCATATGAACCATTCGAACTGAGTTTTTGTTTCCCTTTATCAGATGTCATCATTATCTGATTGGTCGATTTTAGTTGTTTTATTATTTCCTGTAGCTCTTGAGCCAATATAGTCAATTTGTTATATTCATTCTTTTGATCTTTATTTTCAAGATTTGTTCTTTTATTATCTGTACATGATAAATCAAAGCGAACAGCTGATGAACTTCGTCGACCACTAGTTGATTTTGATCGAGTTACTGTTTCAATGGATGTATGTGATGTATGTGTTTCATTGTCTATTAAAATGAATAAATGAAAATATTTACATTCATATAGCATCTGTAAATATACAGACGGAAAATTTAATACGAAACTTCAGTCAGATTTCCATTGTTTTTGTTAGTCATACTCCCTAAAAGAGGAAGAGGGTTGAAAATAGAATAGAACTAAGGCTGATAAAATACTTAGAAATCTAGAATTGATATAGTCGTTACATATCTATCACAATGATCAATTTCTAGCAACATAAAAGACGGTTCCGAATTACTGACATCCTGAATTTCTCAAGAATTCCTATTGAATAGCCCACACTTCTAGCCAAAAGGAACACCCAGTAACTTTATGTGAGAATAAAACTTGGAGGCTGTAGTAGGACATAATTCTGTATAGGACTGTTTATTTGACACAGTGTACACAGTGACATACAATAATTTACTGGATAACTTCCCAACCAGAAGTTATTTCTCATAACCGTTGCAAAGTGATGTGATTCTAAGTTGGTTATCCCTTTACTCTGGTCACCATCATATATACGTGTTGTTTATTACTTTTAATGTGAAAAGTAATCGTATTTCGGCATTTATATGTAACAGACAGCATTGTAACCACCAGGATTTCCAACAGGCTGACTTCAGTACAACTCTTATTGTCTTACCAAACACTGCTCTCGCTACAACAAGTGTTAGCTTATTGTTTCTTTTTAATTACCATAGAGAACAAAAAGAAGATGAATGTTGAACCTGGTACAAAAGTGTATCAATTCAATTTATAAATATTCAAATTAAGTTGGGACTTGATGGTTTGAAAAAAATGTAAACATTAGGTAAGTGACTTTCATTATTTGCGTATTTGTATTTCCTGATGAATTCAAAACAAAATATATTTGCTTCGACTGACATTTCTCCATTTAATGCTAATGGCTTTATCAAAGTTATAGTTGTCTACTATAACTCTGATAAAGCTATTAGAATTAAGTAGCGAAATGTCAGTCAAAACAGATTTTTGTTTTATATTCATAGGGAAATACAAATACCAATATAATACATCAGTTCAAGCTGACACACTTCACACCAGTATACAAAGAAAGGATGAATATAGAATTAATAATGTAGATGATGACGAAAGTGTATGAGCTGAGACAGAATAAATGGTTGAAGATTAATGTAAGTCTCTGAAACTTCGGAGATGAAAGAGATTACATACCCAAGCACCATTGTAATCGATTTTGAGCTAAATCACTAAGAGTCTCAAATGGTCGATTCGCAGTATCTCGAGAAAGTCACTCAGGTAGACTGAACCTCTCTACAAGGTCTAAATCAACAGCTGAAATTCATATAGTGTAACTTTGGTAATATAAGATGAACTTTAAAGCTTAGTTTCAGCAAAATGATAACATTTAAAGCATGTGTGTAAATGTAAATTACATGTCTTGCCAGATAGATTTGCGTAATCGGATTGCATTTCATAAATAACCATGACTTCTAGTAATACAGTATCATTAGTAGCAATATAGGTGTGATTTTACCTTTCTCGCTTGTTCTGGTACTGTTACTCAGTCTGGATGATGCTGGTGATCTTCGGTTAGTTGAAGATGATGCTGATGACAGGGATTGGCTGCGCTTCTTTGCAAATAATGTAGGTGATGTAGATTGAATTGATAAGGAAGTAGACGAAGAGTTTTGTTGATTTTTGCTATTATTCGCTTCGAGAGACAACTTCAGTAGTCGATTTATTTCAAATTCAATTTTAGCGAACAAAGTCGACAAACTTCCATACAGTAAGTAAGGATCGTCCAATGGAATTGCTTCAAGCATCATTTGATTGTTGCTTTTTTTTCCATTACCATTTAATGAAACACTGATTGAATTCTCCACCAAAGTTCCACATGAAGATCCTAGTGGCTGGATTACTTTTAAAGATTGTTGAAATTTCTTCTTTGATGAGTATAGTTTCCAAACCTTTAAGGTCTCCAGTTGAAGTTTGCTGAAGTAGTGCTTAAATTCTAAAAGATTAGGTGGATAAGGGTAGAAAGATTAATTCTTCTTTAAATTGTTAGATACAATGGTTATGTTGATACAGTGTTTAAAGCCTTCTCAGTTGAAAATAATATGCATAATTATGAATAAATGTCTGTTTAGAACTATTTGTTCTCTGAGCTGACATTTCGATAGACAAATATTTCACTGTCATACTAGGCATTATCGCCAGCACTTTAAATACTTCCTTGCAATTAAATAAAAATTTGATAAAAGCTAATTAAGTCACTGATAAAAGTCAAGGAGGGTAATAAGGGCAGAAAGAATTTACGTCTTAAGTACACCATCCATGGTATCGGAAATGAAATGAACACTACTAGGTAGGTTCAGAATAACTTACATTTACGGAATTCTAAGAATTCTGAGTAGATCTGAGTATTCGTCCCTGGTCGTATCTATATATTATATAAAACGCTGCCCTGATATTGACCCTATAACAGATGTTGCATTAATAGAAATAGTATCTACTTTCAGCCGCTCAAGCAAATGTTCAGGTATTCCTAGCTGCATATCACAACTGCTTCTCCCTAATTAGGAGGGTTTCCAAATACATATTAATCTGTATGTGTCAACATGAGACTTGTAATCACTATTGTTGCTACAAGTCACAGCACCATATCAAGATACAAAGAAGAAAAATGGTGAAGAAAGAGACGCTGTTTATGGACATTGGATTCAAGGGAGATACATTGACAAACGTAATGAAGAACTGACTGTGTAAAGCACTGAACAAAGACCTTCTTTTCCGCTCAGCTCCAAGTTACTTTTCCAAGTGGACAACTGAATCGAAGGTGTGTAAATGATAAAATACAGCTTTGGGTCACCTACAGGTGTATTCATTAGTTCACATGCTCTTGTGGAGCTAGTTACAATAGCCAAACATTATCCTGTGTGACTGTCGAGAGGACAGTGTAAAGCCGTCAACAGTTAGATTCTAGAGCATTTGGTTATATATATTCCCCATGCTCCACGAGAGTCTTCTTTCAGAGTCACTTGTAAAGTGAAGGCAAACATTTTGAAGCGAGTGCATACTCACTACCTCATTATAGCAGAAGATCTGGCAATCCAACATCAGAAACCTGGTCTTTGTGTTCAAAAAAAACCCAATCTCTAATTTTTCCTTGGTAATAATCTACCTAAGATAGTTTATTTACTTCTTTGTTTATTTACTATAGTCGTACGGCAATTTTTGGTGACCTTGATTTGACCTTCTACTCTCTGATACTGGCACCTTGTGACCTTATACACCATATTCAATCACCTTATTCCGACCAATGTGCCATTGATGGGTATATATTTTTTGTTGTGACCATGATTACGATGTACAGCTTTTGAAAATGATTCGTCGAAAAGAAAATTTTCTTTGCTGAATTGTCTTTTATTAGTTTTTGTTATTAAAATCCCTAGAAAGTCATATAAATTCATTGTCTCGGCGACAAACTTTCTTGAATTCATTAAACTGGATAAGCTACTGTTTGAGTACTCTTTAAACTTTATTCTATGGAATTTATTCAAAATTTCGCCATTTCAGCTTGAGTGTATGCTTTACCAAACAGAAAACAAGAGCAGAACGAAAACAAAAGAGTGGAAAATAATCAAAGGTTGAACCACCACCACCAACAGTATAAAGAGTTACACTTAGTACTACCAGTGTAGGTTTAGTATAAGTACAAACAGCTTCTAAATGCATGGAAGGGGTTTGAATTAATGCATAGCAAATGCTCGGCAATCATTCTTGACCAATTCTATACAGTGAAGGTTGTCTTCATATGAATCTTATGATCAGTTTATAATATGTATTTTGCTATCAGTCAGGAACGACGTCTGTCATCCGCACTTATGCCATTTACGCATATGTTCAACCATTCTTAACTGCATTTCACGGCTGCTCCTCATTTTGTATGTATCTACATGTACATGTAAATTGATAGACTTAATCAGTATGCGATACACTCCTTCGAATGCTGTTTAGGTTTGTATTGAAGCATGGACATTGTCTTCTCCTGCTAACAACTGATTTGAGTTTTTTCTTCAAGATTAGGCTATTCGACTCACCCCTGTATGGAAATGTGATGTACATACCTTTCTTGGGAACAGAACACTGATCAATCAGTGTCAATGTTATGCCGATTTTACATGTGTTGGTAAATTTCAATGTATATCCATTTGGCGCTAGTGTGTCCCACAGGAAATTCGCTACTGTTTTTTGTGTCATCTGTGTAAGTAAATGCGTTAGTCCTAAGCTCAACTATTCATACCATGGGTGGTGATGATTTGACTTCCGATGATTATTTCTTCCTCTTTTGTTTTCCTTTTCCCCTTGTCATCATTCTTAATTCTAATTATGTTGGCTTGATTAACCTTTTTGGGTTTTATGTAAATTATTCGATAAGTTCATATGTGACAGACTGTTCGATATGTATAACGCCAATACATCATATATTTCAGAAAATCTCTGTATTCTCATTGCGTTGGGTAAATTAACCTTTTGTGAGACCAAATTCATTCACGTAGAATGCTTTAAACTAACTGGGCTTAATTTACAATATTTTTTATGTTTTATTTAGTAACTTATTTACTGAATGACTCAGTAAGGTAATCTTCAAATTTTGAGTCCCTCAATATTTCGGTTGCTATCACTGTCGAAATTTCCCCGAGAAACTTCGATTGAATTATGCATGTAGTTGTGGTAACTTGTTTAAGGTTTTTAACCTCCTTACTGACATCTGTTTTGTCCGCATAAATTAAAAGGTGTTAAATTTTCAATAAACATTTACGTTTTCATGCTCTATATTTTAAGCAGCTGATAAGTTACTGCTAAAATAAAGTGGATGCATTCCATCTTGATAAAATCATTGTTTGTGCTTTTCTAAATGTTTTTTGTTGGTTTATTTACCAATGAGTCACTTTTGAAAAGAATTCAGTAAAACGATGCCATTGAAAAGAAACTAGTATCAAGATGAAGTAGTTATGACAGATACGGATTCATTTCTGTTCTAACGACCATCGAACTCAAATGTGAAGTAAGATTGAAAGTTATTAACTCCAACTTCACACAAAATCGGAAATTAACAATTTGTATTGGCATAAAACTGTATTCCATTGTATGATTTAGAAAAATAGGTGAATATGACCAAGTTTACAGCATGAATCATACTTCAAACCTATTTTCACTGCATAATTCACTGGCATAATAATAAGTTAATACACAACTTGGTGCTAAGTGTTAAATACAGCTATTTTGCACACCCACCTTCTGCAGTGAAGCCAAACTTTTCAGCAAACTGTAGAATTTGATTGAATCTCACTTCCTTCATCTGAGTTATATTTTCTTCGAACACTTCCATTTCCTTGACTTGGTCTTCTTGAACTCACTTTGTAGTTCTGAAGTTACTGCACGTTCATTTTTCCCTTCGACTTCGTGACTGAATATATTTGGAAGTGACTGGGCAAACAAATCCATCTCAGACTTCATAAGTGCTTCACAGTTATCAACTTTATTTGCATTAAGTAGCTGTTTGTATTGATTTTCATCATAAGGATGCAGAATGACAGAGGGAGATGTATTCAAAGGCGATTTTGTTGATTTTTCATGAAGTGATATTTCTTCGCTTAATTTCTGTGTTAAGCGTAAAATAGTAAGATGTAAGTATGGGCATTTATTCTTCTTGTGTCTGTGTGTTTTCTTAAAATAAATCATTTCATATTTACAAATTACGTTAAACGCAACGATAAGTAAACAGGCAGATGCAATGACTCCGCCAGAGATCGAACCCAGTGCCCCGGGGTTACGCGACCAGCACTGAGTCGGAATCCAATGGTCTATATTTCCTACTCAGGGTTCAGTCCGTGGCAGGGCCATTGGGGCACACTGCTGAGGAGTTCCATAGTATAGGAACAGCTGCCCAGTGTCCCCTGGTTCCCAGTGTTTCTCCAATTGGTGTCAGTCCATGATGAATACCTGAAGTCAGAAAATGAAAAAATCCCTACAAACCTTCAAACTGAATAATTTCAATGCTCATTGGTGACTCGCTTTGAGAGGTAATTCCAGAAGTACTAACAAGAAGTCGTGATCGATGGGGCCAACCAGGTGGGATATGAGGACGAATACAAAATGTGGCATTGGGTAGAGTTCACGCTATATCGTAGACAGAGAGAAGTAGGAAATATACAGCACTGGATTCCGAAACAGCGACTCAATAGTAACGTGCTGGTCACTGGACTTGAAGGTGCTATATTCGACCCTTGGTGGTGTCACTAGTGTCCATAGCTGGGGAGTCCCCTACTACGACAAAACGGCTGTCCAGTGCTCCCGGGTTTCCAGCTTTCCTCCAACTGGTGTCAGCCAATGATGAATACCAACCTGAAATCAACAAATAAAAAAATCCCCACAAACCTCCATATTAGATAGATACGACCCCAACAACACCCTAGTCAATATCTTTTCATAACGATAAGAAATGCCATTCTTTTTCTGTTGGTAACTCTGTTCTAACTTGGAAATGTTGCACTCAATGGATTGCTATAATTTGAAATCAAGTATAACGGAACACATTAAACTATTAGGGGCTATGTATCAGAGCTGTAGGATAGGACAGAGTGAACTGCTGCATCACGTACCCACTTTTCGCATTTATTGTAACCTTATCCAGTTTTGCAAGTAATGTGCCTATCAAGTGTCAGGTAACTTCTTTATTAAGAGATATGCAACAGTAAAACATGGATTTATTATTATGAGAACAGCATTTAAATACAGTAGTAAGGTATAATTCACCTGTACTTATTTCTTTGTATGTATCAAACAATGAAACAGTGTTATTTACTTATGACCTTTCGAACAGAATTTACTGCTCATAATCATGTCAAGGTAATCCCACAACTTTCTGACCTAGGTTTTGTAATCCTGTTGATTTTCAATCATTGATTTAATTGGCAGTAAAAATTCCTCATATCCGCAATAAGTGTTGTGTCAGTTATAAGACGTGTCTTATGTCGATTCGATGGGCAATTCACATATGAACTAGAAATTGGTAGATGACTGTTAATCAAAAGAAGGCAGGATAGAGGTATAGAAACTAGAGTTTACAAAAAGTCCTAAGACTCCAATTGACCTTTGGACATCTCGTGTGATACCACTTAAGCCAGGATTGGTCAAATACCTGAGTAACAGGGCACGAAGACTAGCTGGTAAGCCAGAAAATCTATGTCAAGAAGTGAAACATATGAGAGATTTACTATTACAGAACAACTATTAGTCAAAAAACATGAGTAGTAAGAAGAATATTACCTCTACTTCTACTACAATCAAAGACATAAACAGTGCTAATGGTAAAACAAAGGGGAAGGATTTTGAAACCCATCTTTTTTACCATATAAAGAAGGGGAGTGACGATGGATAGTAAATTGCTTCCGAAACTTAATTTAGTAAATAATTATATTTCACTATGCGATAGACCCAATTAACGAACTAAAGTAAGGAAGAAATATAAGAAGCTAATACAAGATTTATAATAAGGTCGGAGTTAAAGTGGCAGTTAAACCTACAAACTGACACAGAGAAGAATCTCGTCGGCTACAAGATAATATTGAGCATGTCGGACAAAATAGTTTAGTCTAGCAACTTCCATACAATAAGTATGACGTCAAGTACCTTAATCACAACGGCTGGTTGGCAGAAACCTAGCTAAATATCGAATAGTAGACCTCAATAAAATAAGAAATCTACACAAAACCACTGTGTGATACAGATAAAAAGAGGAGAAGAGGTCACTTTTTCGCCAACTCTCAGTAGCTACTCCATAATCCAAGTTATGTATATATATATATATATATATATATATATATATATATATTTATTTATCATTTTCCTGTTTGTCCATTGGGTTCTTAGTGGAACATAGAGCTTCACTAGCACACCTCTACTCACTCTCTTCTCTTCAGTCTTCTGAACCTCACTTCACGACTGTCTACAAGCTTTCATTTCTTCCTTACCTGATCTCCTCCATATCACCCAGGCCTCAGACGCCCAACTCGTCGTTTCCTCTTCGGCTTCCACCGGAGTGCCTGGCGCGTGATGTCCCCAATCGGCCCTCTCAGTGTATACCCAATACAATTCATCTCCACTTTCTCCTCTGTAGATTTGTTGCGCATAGGGTTTTTAGTAGGTTCGTTGCCAGAGTTCCTCGTTGCTTATTCTTTCCGGCCATCTGAAATTTAGTAACGAGCGTAGGCAGCTGTTGATGAATATCTGTAGTTTGTTGCGAATGCTTTTTGTAACGCGCCAAGTATCTCAACTATACAGGAGCACTGACTCGACTGAACTAGTGTTGAAAATTCGGATCTTGTGTGCGCGTTTTGCTGAGTACAGAAGATCTCAACACTGATTTCAGATTAAAGCAGCAAGGCCTGTCTTGCTGACTTTCTGATCCTGGCTTTGGCGTCCTTGTCATCTGAGCCACCACCGCCCCCTGTAGTTGAAAATATGCTGAATAGTTAGGTAATTGAAAGAGACGACTTCGTTTACATTTCTCTCGTTGGTGGTGGTTGGTGCTTGTTGTCAGTGTTGTTGTTGTTATTGTGGATTTAGTATCTTCATCACCTCTGTCTTCTCTTCTTTCACTTAAGATACAGTCCTCACTGCCACTTCAGTCAGCTAGTTCGTTTTTACCTGTACATCTTCGAGCTTGTGCGACAACACAATAGACATAAGTCATCATTGGCGAAATCCAAATCTTCTAGGGTCTTTTCATTGGTCAAACAACGTATCCGCATCTTCTCGCTCCTCACAGTTGCCAGTTGCATGATCCAGTTCAGTCGACCACAATCAGGAAGATCATCGGTGATAGTAGGCGGCAACCTTATCTTACTCCTTCCTGTCTTCACTTCAAAGGCGTCACTGAACTTTGCACTGTGAATTGCTTGGCATGTAGCATCATATAGCAAATAGCTGTTGAATGAGGTTGATAAGATTTGTGCATTAAAGGCGTAGTGTTGAAGCAGTTTCCAAATATCTTCTCGGTGGACGCTGTCGAAGGCCTTATCGAAGTCGATCAAGTTGAGGTAGAGTGTTGACTGCCATTCCATATTCTGTTCTATGATGATGGGTAGCGTAGCGTAGCGTTGCAATTTGATCCACACATGATTTGTACTTCATGAAGCCAGCCAACCAGCCTGTTCCGGTAGTAAGTTTGAATCCATCACATCTATAATCTCTCCAGGATGATACAGCCTAATATTTCTCTTGGGGTGGATAGGAGCATGATTCCACGCCACTTCTTATTCTTGGAAAGACTTGAGCCTCCATTCTTTGGGAGTTTGACAGAGCAGTGCTTCTTCCAATCAATAGGCATGTGCCCTTCCTTCCTTCCTCCCTTCCTAGCAAACCTTCTGCAGTAGTGATGTGGTGTGAGCATGTCCGCTGTTGCCTCTGCGTCTGTTTTCAGTGTTTCCGGAGGAATTCCATCTGGTCTTGCTGCTTTCCCGGATTTCAGCAGTTTTATGGTATTCAGGACTTCTGCTTTTGTCTGATGGCCTGTGTTTACTGGTAGTTCTGTTGTTGCTGGTGTTGTTTCTAGACGAGTTGCAGGTGGTGGTCGATTCAAGAGTTTTCTGAAGTGGTCAGACCATCGTTTCCTTTGTTTCTCCCCTTTGGTGTTAACTAAGCTTCCTTCACCATCTTTCATGGGTTTCATCTGCGTTGATCTCTTCACAGATAGAAAGTAAGCTGGTTATTTGATACAGTGTTGTCAGGTCTCACCTACCTGCAGCCTGCTCTGCTCCACTTGCCAATGTGTCGTAGAAGTGTCTTTTGTCTTCGCGCGCACTATTCCTCACTTTTTTGTCAAGTGTTCTATACGTTGTACTCAGTTCCTCTCTTCGTCGTGCATTCCTGCACTGCACTGTACTGCACTGGTTCATCTTCTGCTTCACCATCACCAACTTCCTCTCCTCTATCAGCTTCCATATGTCCGTCGAGATCCATTCCTTGTCTCGTTTCTTCTTTCGTCCTAACACGGTTATGCAGGTTTCCTTTCACGTATATTTCGAAGAACTCCAGTGCTTTTCCACGCCCAATCCTTCAGAGATGTTGCTCAATGTTCCCCTTTTGTCTGATGGCTGACGTGAAGATGTCCTTTGTAGTTTCATCCTTCACTTCAGTTTTCGTTCTGGGTGTTGAACTTGAACTGTGGTCTATCACCAGCTTATTTGAAGACTTTCAACTCGATTTTGAAGGCTGGTTCCTTGCATTAGATAGTGAGTAGTGTGAACCTACATCTGCTCCTCTTCTTCATCTGATTTTGTGTCCAGTAGGCTGCGTCTCCACCTTCTTGAGATTGAGATGAAGTCGATCTGATTTTTAGTGTGTCCGGGTGCCTGGTGAAATCCATGTCGTTTTGTGAATATCCTTGTGTTTCTATATACTGCCTCTAATCACCAAATCGTTGAATGAGCAGAATTCTGCAAACAGTTCCTCCTCTCATTCATTTCACCAAGTGCTTCTCGACCCATGATGAATTCTCTTCCTGTGTTGTCCGCCCCCAGTTTGGCATTCATGTCACCACACGCATTAGAATGCATTTTGATGTCGCCAACTGGAGTGGGGTCTTGTCTAGTACTGGT